CTACTTTACCTTTGTGCTCCTTCTGTCCCTTCCTGCTCTTGCAGACCCTTCCTGCCCCTTGCAGATCCTTCCTGCCCCTTGGTGCCCCTTGCTGACTCTTTCTGCTCCTTGCAGACCCTTGCTTCTTCTTGCAGACCCTTCTTGCTCCTTGCTGACTCTTTCTGCTCCTTGCTGCCCCTTCATGCCCCTTTCTGGTCCTTGATGCCCCTTCATGCTCCTTGCAGACCCTTTTTGCTCCTTGCAGACCCTTCCTACTCCTTTCTACTCCTTCTCCTACTTTATCTTTATGCTCCTCCTGTCCCTTTCAGCTAGTTGCCAACCCTTTCTGCTCCTTGATGTCCCTTTCTGCTCATTTCTGTTCCTTCTTCTACTTTACCTTCCTGCTCCTTGCTGACCCTTCCTGTATGCTGCTCCCCATCTCTCACTTAGATGATCTGTAGGCTATATCCCCCCACCCCTCACTTACCTGATCTATAGTCCTGCCTCCCCAAGCCCTCACTACCTGGATCTGTAGGTGCCCCATCCCTCACTTACCTGATCTGTAGGCTGCCCCCTATCCCTCACTTACCTGATCTGTAGGCTGCCCCCTATCCCTCACTTACCTGATCTGTAGGCTCTCTCTCCCCATTCCTCACTTACCTGATCTGTAGGCTGTCTCTGCATTATGGGAGTTTCTGGCTGCACTCTGTGCCGCTCCCCTGCTGATTCAGTCAGCAGAGAGAAGCAGGGATAAGATGTAGCGTCCTTTCCCTTCCCATGATTTTCATGCAGGACAATGCTCCATCACACGCGTCCAAGTACTCCACAGCGTGGCTGGCAAGAAAGGGTATAAAAGAAGAAAATCTAATGACATGGCCTCCTTGTTCACCTGATCTGAAGCCCATTGAGAACCTGTGGTCCATCATCAAATGTGAGATTTACAAGGAGGGAAAACAGTACACCTTTCTGAACAGTGTCTGGGAGGCTGTGGTTGCTGCTGCACGCAATGTTGATGGTGAACAGATCAAAACACTGACAGAATCCATGGCTGGCAGGCTTTTGAGTGTCCTTGCAAAGAAAGGTGGCTATATTGGTCACTGATTTGTTTTTGTTTTGTTTTTGAATGTCAGAAATGTATATTTGTGAATGTTGAGATGTTATATTGGTTTCACTGGCAATAATAAATAATTGAAATGGGTATATATTTGTTTTTTGTTAAGTTGCCTAATAATTATGCACAGTAATAGTCACCTGTACACACAGATATCCCCCTAACATAGCTATAACTAAAAACAAACTAAAAACTACTTCCAAAAATATTCAGCTTTGATATTAATGAGTTTTTTGGGTTCATTGAGAACATGGTTGTTGTTCAATAATAAAATTAATCCTCAAAAATACAACTTGCCTAATAATTCTGCACTCCCTGTAAATGTCATTGCAATTCAGAATTTAGTGAATAAACCTGTGAGAGAATGTGGTTGCATTCATGAGGGGACGACAAAATGGATTGTTGCCAAGAGCGGCAATAATCCTTGCACTAGCCCTGGTTCAAGGAACTTACAATAAGACTATAGTGAGACGAAACAGTGAAATAAATAGGAACTCACACAAATAGAGAATTATTCACTTATTCTAATAACATCAAGATACGTTAAATGTATGTGATACCAGCAACATGTAAATAAAGCCTTAAACCAGCTAGATACTGTGTATCAGTAGAACTATTGTGCCACCTACTATGAGCTAAACATAAAAACATAGAATGTGACGGCAGATAAGAACCATTCGGCCCATCTAGTCTGCCCAATTTTCTAAATACTTTCATTAGTCCCTAGCCTTATCTTATAGTTAGGATAGTCTTATGCCTATCACACGCATGCTTAAACTCATTTACTGTGTTAACCTCTACCACTTCAGCTGGAATGCTATTCCATGCATCCACTACCCTCTCAGTAAAGTAATACTTCCTGATATTAATTTTTTTTTTAACATGACATGATGAGTAACAGAGAAAATATATGGAGATCCCTATAGAAAAACTATACAATAATGCCAGCGAGATGTTGCTGAAAGTACTGAGGCTTACATAAACCATACCCTAATACCAGTAATATAATATGAGACGGGAGAAATAATAGTAAAGCCAAGAGATATTACAAATTCGAAATGCCATAGCCTCCAAAATACTGTAACATGGATCAACTAACAGAAACTGAAAGGTGTTTGAGCCTCTTATCAGTTGGGCAGGATTGACAAAATGTTATATAGTACAATTAGATCATACCTTGCCTCCTAGAAACATGACTAGAATGAACTCAGTTACATATAGCGAAAGAAAACTAGAGTGAATTGGTATTCATATAGAGATACAATTCAAAGAATGTTCTGACATTTATATAACGAGACAAAGTCTAGTTTGAAACAGACAACCATAAAGTGAAATAAAGCGTAACAGATGTTTATTTGTAAAAGCAATGTCTAACGTGGGCCTACTTTCATATAGCCAAGCAGTGGCATACTAAAGGTGGGGGGCGGTGAGCCCCAGATGTCACTAGGTACGGGGGTGCCATGACCGCACAGGACCCCATGGCAGCTGGGGCACCGGGCGGCCGACACAGCTCAAAGTAGCAGAGACCAACTGTAACGGAGCTCCCCAACCAAGTACCCTCCCTTGATGGACGTTTCCTAGCTTGCGCCGAGGACCACGAGCACCGGACACCACTGCAGACTCCGCAACCGCCGTAGCTTGACTGGAGTCTTCCTTCCACCCTGGATCAGCTTCTGTCTTCCAGGAACGTGTGGGTAAGACCTCTTCCTTCCACCCTGTATGAACCTCCAGCATCCAGGACTGTGTGGGGATGACCTCTCCTCCAAGGAGAGCATAACAGGAACAGCTCTTAAAAGAGCTAAGTGATTAAAGCTCAAGGGAGTATGCAGAGCATAGCAATCCCCAGTGTGAGTATAGCTGTTCCCTCCAATCACAAGACAAGACTACATGTTGAGGGATCAAGAAGAACTGACTAAAACTTTAATTTACTTGGGACTAGCCCATATGGTCATTACATTAACATTGCTGTGAAAACTCAATAAAATGACAAACAGTCAAATCATAGCAGGCAACATACAGTGACTTATTATAAGATAATTACATATTTATAAATGGGCGGGGAAGACCATAATTAACACAAAATGTCTCTCCTGCATGCAGAATTAGTGATATGCAAATCTACCCGAATATGCAAATTAACCAGTCTTGCTTTTCAGGTAGTGCATATTGCTGTTGCTACCAACAGATGGCGCTAGACAAGCTCCATAGCCAATGTGATAGAATTTATCTTGATTCCAAGGCTCAAGCTTATAGGTGTCATATAATGATATCCTATATTAAAATTGGCTAACTTGGACTCAGGAAATGCTTGATGCTTAAACAACACTTAAGACCATATATGTCTAAGTTCCGGGAGCAGAGAACCCCCACCTAACATGTCTCTGCTCTAATCATTTTGTTCTCTCTTACCTTGAAACTTATTTGTTATGTGTACATGACGCTCATCCCTATGTCTTATCTGTATTCTCTTCCTATTACTGTTCTAAGAGTATTTGCACGTAAGCACTTACTTTTTAATGTATAAAACCCAGCTGATGAATAAAACGTCAGAGGCTTATTTTGAATACCAACAGGTGTCTGGTGTCTAATTCTCGCTTCTCCAAGTGCACTTGTAACAACAATTTGGGCTTCCTCTGAATATAACAAAGATCAACATTCTGATCCACAACACCAAATCCACCTAGTTGGTAGCAAATCTCAGTAGTACAGGAGAGCAGGCAATACATTTCACAGTACACACTATAAACAATTACATTACACACACCCTGCACCTATAGTGGGTACAGGGTGACTAAGACATAAGAGAAATAAAGCAACCTACATAAATAGTCTGTCTGAAGGTCGAATAGGGACTTTAAAGCCAAATACATCAAAGAGTCATAGCCACATGGTAGGAGCCTGGCCAACAGGCTTCTCCATAACCCAGGGAAGCAGGGCAATTTGTCACACGAAAAACCAGTTACAAAAGACAGTTTGTAACATATCTAGACTGACCAGGTACCTGACCTTCTGTCGGTCAGGGCCCACGTTAGTCGGGCAACCCACTGACAACAAACAAGCACAAGTGTAGCCCAACCACAACAAAACCGTTACTGCACCTGGTGATTCCTCTGGGTTGATGGGGCACCACGCTGTGGGGACTTGGGGGGCAAAGGCCAGCTGCGCTCTTTCCTGATGCCAGCGCTTCTGCTAGGGTAGCCTGGTGGGGACTTGGCTGGGGAGAGGAGATATCACTTACCCCCTCCTCTTGATACTCCGGCGATGGTAGCTGGGGATCTGGATAGGCTGTTTTCCATCAGGGGAGGGTCAGGCCCAGAGACCATTGGTGTCTCCCGTTGGTGGGGTAAGCTGCCGCTGGGGAGAGAGGGTGCTGTGCTCCTCTCCCTGGAACACAGGCTGCCGCTGGAGAGGGAGACCGACTGTCTCCACTCCCATAACATTGTCCTGCTGTTGGGGAGAGAGACCGACTGTCTCTGCTCCCTGTAGGATACACTGCTGCTGGGAGGGAAGGACGACACCTTCAGCCCCCCCGGGGTGCAAACTTAAAAAAAACATTTAAAATAAATAAGCCGTTATAACCGTAACAAATCTAAGTAAACATTTTTACACAAAGTGCTTGGTACATGGGAATTTTTACAACAGAAACTAAATCAAAATTTTGCTTCAACCAAATTGGCATCAGTAATGTTGTCAGGACACCTACAGACTATTATGGATTCCTCATCTTTATGGTCTAGAGAAGAAGACGTTGCACAGAAGGTGTTATAGACTTAAATTCTTCAATAACCTCATTATAAGTAGCTGACCAAGCCAATTCTTGCTCAATATATAATTTCATGCGTGCATCCAGGCGTTCTTGGGACATTGTACTCCCCAGTTTGGTTTTTACATGTGTCAGTTTTGAAAAGGCTCATTCACATGAACAGCTTGTCACAGGTAACACTGTAAAGCACTGAACACACATATAAAAAGCATTAAATGTGTTGGATCGATCTGATTCTTTAAACCAATCAAGCCACTCTTTGATGGTATTTGTGGTGCAACCTTTAGAATTAGGTCCATCATACTCCGTTAGCAGTGTGGCTTCTGTTTCCAATTCATCCACTGACACCTTAAATTTGTTGGCAAGGATTTCTATGTCATCTTTAGGAATTCTCAAGTTTAGCAGTTTTCCTACTGCAGTTACAATATCACACGACTCCTGTTCAAATCGCTGGTCAATACCAATTAATAATGAATCCAATAGTGGGTAAAATGAAGTTATCCTCTGCTGCTCCTCTTTTGTTTCATAGTGATACTGAGACTGTGCTGCTGCTTCATCAAGAAGGACAGAAGGTTTTCTCTTCCTAACTGGGGGAATGGCGATGTTATTTTCGGCACACTTTTTTTCACGGTCATGGAAAATGGACTGAAAATAATCTGGGTCACTTCTCATGGAAACCAAGGAGTTGCGCAGGCTTTTCACCACTGTCATTGCAGTAAGCAAGTTGAGATTTGATGCTTGCAGTCTTGCTAACTTTTACTACCATTTGTAGAATAGGGTGCATCATGTGCAGAGCAAAGATAAACTTGAAAGAATTTAATTCACAAATAAGGCCCCTTGCTTTCATTTTAGCATCAGCTAAGCAACTTAATTCGATGATCTCAATTAAGGCCTTTAAAATAACTGAAAAGTTTTCTTTTACTGCAGCCACTGCTTCTGCTCTGCATGCCCACCTTGTGTTTGACAGTGACTTTAGAGTCTTTAAAGGGACACTATAGTCACCTGAACAACTTTAGCTTAATGAAGCAGTTTTGGTGTATTGAACATGCCCCTGCGGCCTCACTGCTCAATCCTCTGCCATTTAGGCATTAAATCCCTTTGTTTGTGAACCCTAGTAACACCTCCCTGCATGTGACTTGCACAGCCTTCCATAAACACTTCCTGTAAAGAGAGCCCTATTTAGGCATTCTTTATTGCAAGTTCTGTTTAAGATTTTCCTACCCCCTGCTATGTTAATAGCTTGCTATACCCTGCAAGAGCCTCCTGTATGTGATTAAAGTTCAATTTACAGAGAAAGAGATACAATTGTTTAAGGAAAATTACATCTGTTTGAAAGTGAAATCAGTTTTTTTTTTCATGCAGGCTCTGTCAATCATAGCCAGGGGAGGTGTGGCTAGGGCTGCATAAATGTAAACAAAGTGATTTAACTCCTAAATGACAGTGAATTGAGTAGTGAAATTGCAGGGGAATGATCTATACACTAAAACTGCTTAATTTAGCTAAAGTAATTTAGGTGACTATAGTGTTCCTTTAACTGAGTTCCTACTTCTTGATAAATCGTCTCCATTACAGCATGTCTCACAGGACTTCCCTCCATGAAGGCATAAAGAGTCTGGATAATGCCAAAGAAGTCAAACGCTGTTCTGTTTTGTCTACTTGAGGTGCATGCATCAACTAGGACAAGGTTTAAACAATGTGCATAGCAGTGTACATAGTTTATTTCACGTTTTTTTCTTTACATTTCATCTGAACACCTGCAGTGCATCAAGACATAGTAGATGCTCCATCAAAGCATACAGCAATCACTGATGACCAGTTGGTTTTAATAATTCCAACAACATTATTTATTTGGTCAAAAATTGACTGAGCATCAACTTTTAAAAGCCTTTGAATTGAAACAAAATGCTCAACTGGACTTTGCTGTTCATTATTAAAATATCGTACTACAACAGACATCTGTTCATGGTGTCCACAGTCAGCAGTATCATCTGCAATACCTGCAATTGAGATCATTTTTCCATTTATTGATGACACAATTTTTTGTTGCACAATATTATGTAAGGCCATAATTAAATCATTCTGGATGCGGTTACTCAGCTATGTAGCATTTCGAGGAGATTCTTGCAAATGTCTTTGCATGACAGGATCATATTTTTTTTAGTAGATTGACAATATTTAGAAATAAACCTCTCTCGTGGCTATTGGTTTTTTCATTGTGACCTCAAAATGGTCTGCCACCTCTTGCCAAACACCGAACAATGTCAATCAGTCGCTTCATAAGATTTCTGTTCTTGCACCTTTCTTCTTCTTTTTTTGATAGATAAACTCTTGCTCTCATCTAGTAACACATCAATAGGTTTTCCTTCACTAAAGCTTGACCATGCAGAAGTGCTCAGCATGTGAGATTTTGATTGGTGGTGAGTTGTAAAACATTCATTAGCCCTGTGCCAGTTTCTGAATCCCTTTTCAATAAAGGCTGGATCAGCGTGACTTTTTTGTGTTGCATCATTAGAAGAAAAGCAACGGCAGTAGAAACAAAATGCTGCATCTTTTGCTGGACTGTATTCGAGCCACCTGTATTTTCCATACCAATCACTCTGAAAATTTCTTTTTTTATTCCCTATTTTAGTTCTCGGAAACATGCTCAGTTTTGGCTGATAGGGGCCTCTAGCTACTCGATTCTGGCGTTCAAATCTGTTTTGGGGAATACTACAGACTGGATCATCAGCTGCTATGTTTGATTGCTTTGTTGAACATGAAGTACTCTGACTTGAAAGACCTGAACTAAAATATGTAAGGTCTTCTGTTTGGTCATGACCTGCAGCTTGGCACTCACTGGAACAACACATTGGTTCTGGTTCATCAGTTTGTATGTCTGATGGCTTTGAATATGAAGTGCTCTGTTCTGAACTAAAAAAAATAACATCCTCAGCTTCATCAAGACTTGACGCTTGTAATACACTGCTACACACTGAGTCATCAATTGGTACATTTTCTGAGTGTAAACTGCACTGATCGGAACCAACAGAAATATCTTCTTCTGCACTTTTATCAGCAAACATATTCAGACACAGTGTTAGCCACCGAGTCTGAGGTGTTGGCTTTTTTTGGTTTCTTGATAACAAACCGATCCATATTTTAAAATTCTGTATCTCACAATTATTGTTTTCAGGATAACAGAATGTGTTTCAATATGATTGATAAATCTTGGTTAAGATTTAAACAGACTGACTTGAATTAACAGACAGACGTATCACTCTGGACATCCACAATGAGGCAAATATATCAAGAGTTCATAACCTATGAAGACAAACATAACCTATATTATACCTATAAAGTACATAATGATAATCTATATATAAAAATGTAACAGAGGATAGGCTAGAGGGATGACCTGATAGAGCAAGCAGCAACAGGCTGCCTAAGTTCTGAATGGACACGGGTCGGGGAGAAAGGTAACTGTAACAGACACGTCCTCTAAGCATTAAAGCTGCCAGTGAAGATCACTTCCCCCTGGTCTGCTAAGCACTACAGTGCACTTCTTGATGTGAAGTGTGACTGTGGTTTTTAATGTGCAGTGAATGAGTATCACTGCACAGATTGTACTGTACTAACCTCCTCCCTCCCTTCCCCTCTCAATCAACCCACCCTCTCCGCCCCCTCAAACAAGTAATAGCTCCCCTTATAGAATTGCATGATTAATCTGTATGATAACCAGCTGCACAGATATGAGTAGCTGTGTGCTACCAGTGTGCCATTACATGATCACTAAATGCTGGAACAACTTACTGCCACCCATACAGAGCATAGTATTGACAGATTAGACATTGCACATTTATTGATGGGACATGGCACATTGATTGGACATGGCACATTGAATGCATAGCAATGGTACAAACATGGCAATGTGATGGCCCTATAATGTGTCAGTGCCATACAGAGTGTCTCTATACTTGCAGTTTACCTCCAGATAGTACAGGTCGTCGAGAGGGGTGATCTGAGACTGAGAGTCCAAAAAGTCTTCAGTTGTTGTGAAGACACCAGCAGGCTCAGGGATCAGGGAAGAAAGGCTGTGAGACGGGTGACGGATGCCGCTCTGCCGTTCTGGGAGGAGACTAATGCCGCTGCGCTATGACAAAGGTGAAAATCAGGGATAAGATACACTAATGAGGGTCTAAGAAACACAAAAGGGGTACGAAATTCAAGAGGGGGGTTACACTTACTGATAAGTTCCCTTCCACTTTGTATGGTTCATTCTATTTCTCTCTTGCTGTCCTCTTCCTCCACTTCTTTGTCCTGTACTCGTCTGTTGAACAATGAAACAATGGCCAGATATAAAGTCTTCTCTAGTTACTAGCAGTGTATCTAAAGGTAAAACGTGCTTCATGCTTCCCTTGTTGAAATTTGTTCTGTGACGTTATTCTTTGATACTCGATTATTAATATTATTTTCTTATTTTTATGAGCATTCTGCTGTGCTTCACAATTAAACAATGGGTGTATAATCATCATTAAGCTAAAATAATTATCATTACTATGTGCATTTTCTTAAGTTTTATTCTTATCTCTTAAACATAGCTTTTGCTATCTGTTGCCCCTTTATATTTGAATGGTATAATACTACCTATACTGATTTTGAGGAGTGTAGGCTTGCTCAGTAATGTCTAAGCAGCCATGTTTTATTGCTAAGTGGGTGGACTTTGCATTTACGTGATGTCAAGGAAGGAACATGCAAGCTCACTGATTCAGTCTTTCAATTGTCGTGATGTGACTGCAGATTGTGTTTTTAAGTAAAAAAAAAGTGACTGCAGAGTGTGTGTAAGGATGTAGTGTGTGTGTGTAGTGACGGCAGAGTGTGTGTTTGTGTAAGGATCTAGTGTGTGTAGTGACTGCAGAGTGTGTTTGTGTAAGGATGTAGTGTGTGTAAATGTTGTAATATTTAGTCACTCACAGCCATGCTCTTACACTAGCAAGTGCTCCAATAGAGGGCAGTGCACTCACTCTAGCGAGTGCGCCACAAGAGGGCAGTGCACTCACTCTAGCGAGTGCTCCACTAGAGGGCAGTGCACTCACTCTAGCGAGTGCTCCACTAAGGGGCAGTGCACTCACTCTAGCGAGTGCTCCACTAAGGGGCAGTGCACTCACTCTAGCGAGTGCTCCAATGGGGGGCAGTGCACTCACTCTAGGGAGTGCTCCAGTGGGGGGCAGTGCACTCACTCTAGGGAGTGCTCCAATGGGGGGGCAGTGCACTCCCTCTAGGGTGTGCCCCTAATGTGATTAGAAACCCTTTAAGTCACTGCAATGATAGAGGAATATAAAATGAGCCCTAGATTATGTTTCACTGCATAGTGAACACCAATGATAAAGCAAAGAATGCAAATAAGGCTCTCTCTGGGCAAAGAAGGCTACTCTTTGTAAACATTATGTGTATATCTTTAAAAGTTAAAAACATTCAGAAAAATCTATATTTGAATCAAAAGTAACTATCAATCAGTAGTAGGCAATAGACATTTGACCCTTTAAATTGGATGATACAGGCAAAGCTGAGCTGCCCTGACACTAAAAGTAATTTAATAATACCAGGAATGAAATACTGCAGCCTCATGAAGGGAGAAGAAATCATATTTAAAATTACTTACTCTACCTAGCTTCCGCACGGAACCCCTTCTGGGGAAAAAAACGTTGTGCTCTGCAGCCTCTGCTCTGGCACTA